ATGCTTCAGAGCATTAAATAGCAGCTGGAAAGAAAAAGTTAAGTGGCACCAACAAGGGGGCGGGGGGAGAAATGAAAAAGTATTGGACTATATTAAGGCAAGGTTGATAAACTAAGATTCAGGCAGGAGAGCTGTGCTAGTAACTTCAAAAGAGGAAAACTTCTGTGCCATTTAGGCACAGGATGCTATTTAAAACTTACAACCGTATATAAGCTGTATCCATTATAGGAAACCTTCTATTCAGCTCTACTATTACAGAATTCAAAATGCAAACAGCAAACAGACTGACTGGCTGATATCGATTGGTTGGTTTTACCACAGCTATATAGAAATTAAACAAATCAAAGCGGGGGGGAAGAGGGAGGAAAAGAGATTTATTTTCAAGTGGGAACTGACAGAATGACTCTTATCCATATGCCAAACAATGAAAGTTTTTACAAAAAAGTCACATTGCCATCCCATTTTCCATTTATACAACCACTTCAGGAACCTGAAAAGGCAGGTATTTTCCACAGATGGATACAAAATGTTTTCCCCTGAACACACCTCAACTTCCAGTTAAATACCATTAAAGCTCTGTCAGTTTTTCTTCAACTTTCTTAAACTGTTTTCCATCGTGGAAACACTCACCTAGCATTATGACAGCAATGATCAGTTGTTCTGCAGCTTTTTTCACGTACACTTAACATATCAGGTGCACCTAATGCCTTTTCTCCACACATTGTCTGAAAAGGGCAATTTTTTTTAAAAAAGGCTAGGTCATGAAAGTTATAACCCCACCCTCATTTTAAACAAGGTGATACTGCTTGTGTACTTTAGCTGCCAATTAAAGAGAACATGGTCAAGACTTCCTCTTCCAATCTATACTACCTTGAAGTGCGGTGGTCGATGTCTTAACCAAATCTCTCATTTTAAAAAAAAAAAGCCATATAATTTTAAGGCAACAGTGCCTTAGATAGCCTATACATTCAGATTCACAACAGAAGAGAAAGAAATGCTACGTTAAGAGTTCTATTTACAAAGAAAACATTACCCATCAAAAAGGTTAATACTGACAAAATGCACATGTTGGCATAAAAAGGATTAAAGACACTACTTACTACCACAGTGAGTCTCAAAACATCAGCTCACTCAACTCACATGGAAAACAGTGGTGAAGAAACAAGAAGATGGTGGTGAAGAAACAAAGTGATCAGCAATTTACACAGCACTGATTACTTACACAGCAACCTACGCAGCATTGCTTAGCTCAGGAGTCTCAACTCCCAAATCCCTGGCTGAAATCAAGGTCTTTCTGCAACTTGTTCAGGTAACATAACATAGCATAATCCCTCAGGAGAGAAGAAAGAGAAAGGAAAAGGAAGAGATAAGAGAAAAGGGAACCACATATATATGTAAGTAGCTGGCAATGTGGTTTTAGGAAAAAGTACATTTGAAAGAAAGTGTGGTTTGCAAAAGGGAAAGTGACCAAAACTATTCACTGACTGAGGCCAAAATTTGGTGACCAGTTTCATATAGAAAAACAAGATTGAGGGGGCAGGGAATTGTGGGGGGAGGAGAGGAGGGGGAAGAGTTGAGGTTTCGACATTTCCCTAAGCAAAGTGTTCCAAAAACTTGTTTGTAAATGGCAAGAGTTTCTAATATTTTATTTTAAACTTTGTCCTGAAATAAAGACACAAAAAAGGAAACATTTTTGACAAAAAGAAAACTTTTTTGATTGAACTAAGAAGTGTTTCTTTCTTTGTGTGCTTTGGGGCTAGGATTCAGAGAGATCTCAATAAATTGGAAAACCAGACCAAAAGAAATCTCAAGAGGTTCAATAAGGACAAGTGCAAAGTCCTGCACTTAGGACCAAACAATCCCATGCACCGGTACAGGCTTGGGACCAGGTGGCTAAGTAGCAGCTCTGCAGAAAAAGACCTGGGGGTTACAGTGGACAATAAGCTGAGTATGAGCCAGCAGTGTGCCCTTGTTGCCAAGAAGGCTAACGGCATACTGGGCTGCATTAGTAGGAGCGCTGCCAGCAAATCAGGGGAAGTGATTCTTCCCCTCTTTTTGGCACTGGTGAGGCCACATCCAGAGTACTATGTCCAGTTTTGGGGGCCCCACTACAGAAAGGATGTGGACAAATTGGAGAGAGTCCAGCAGAGGACAACAAAAATGGCTCTCGGGCTGAGGCGCATAGCTTGAGGAGAGGCTGAAGGAACTGCGCTTACTTACGCTGGAGAAAAGACGACTGAGGGGGAATTTAATAGCAGCCTTCAACTACCTGAAGGGGGGTTTAAAAGAGGATGGAGCTGGACTGTTCTCAGTGGTGGCAGACGACAAAAGAAGGAGCGATGTTCTCAAGTTGTAGGAAGGGAAGTTTAGGTTAGATATTAGGAAAAACTCTCTCACTAGGTAGGTAGTGAAACTTGGCTGGGATGATCTAACTGACGATGGTCCTGCTTTGAGCAGGGGGCTGGACTAGATGACCTCCTGAGGGCCCTTTCAAACCTAATTTTCTGATTCTATGCAAACACTGGAACAGGTTACCCAGAGAGATTGTGAAATCTCCATCCTTAGAGGTTTAAAGATCCAGCTAGACAAAGCTTTGGCTGGAATGATCTACAGGTTTTCCTCGATTTATGCAGGTTCTGTATATGCAAATTTGCTCTTATGCAATGATCATTTTTAGACCCATAATTTGTTGTATGAGACATAAATTCACTATTATACGATTGACATAGGCACCTCCCCCCCGCCCAAGCAGGTAAGTCTGTGGGGGGAGGGGAAAGGGCCATAGGGTCGGGGCCCCTTTCACCTCAGCCCCTGCTGCAGCAGCCTCGGGAGCAGCCGGCACCAGTTGCCTGCAGCCGCTGGGCTGTGCCATGCTCCACCTGCCCCCTGCGCCTGGGCTCTTCCTGTCCCCACTCACCCCAGCTCCTGGGCTGTGCTGTGCTGTGGTGCAGACAGCGGTCAGTTGCTCCTGGGACCGCAGCACCAGGGGCTGGGGTCAGCGCAGACAAGCAGAGCCCCAGGTGGCACGGGGTGCAGCACTCACCCCAGCCCCTGCTGCAGTGGACCTGGGAGCAGCCGACACCAGCTGCCTGCACCATGGCACAGTGCAGCGCAAGAGCTGGGGTGAGTGGGAACAGGTGAGGTCCAGACATGGGGGGACAGGCAGATCATGGTACAAGCCAGTGGCTGCAGGCAGCTGGTGCTAGCTGTTCCCGGGGCTGCAGCAGGGAGCAAAGCAGAAGGAACTGTCAGTAGGTGTGTGTATGTGAGGAGGTGGTGCCTCTTGCTGCTACACGATCCCCAGGAGGGCTGCAGGCTGTGCCACGCTCTTCCTGGGAGGCACATGCCCCCAGATCTGCGCGCAGGATGACAGTAGGCTGCTGCTGCAGGCTGGGACCAGTGGTGGCACCAGGCTGTTCCCAGCACTTGGCATGGCCTGCCCCAACCACCAGGGAAGAGCCCGGTGCTGCCACCAGCCCCAGCCTGCAAGGGCACTCTGCTGTTGTCCTGCGTGCAGATCCGGTGGCACGCCTCCTGAGCCCATAGCCCACCCAGGGGGCATGGACAAGCAAGAGCCACACCCCCCTGCCCAGGACCCACTGACCGTACCATCTGCTTTGCTCCTATAGGCAGCCCTGGGAGCGCACCCCTCCGCCCACTCCTTCCCTAGTCCCAGCCTCACTCCCTCCCTCCCTCATCACCTTGGGAACCTATCCCTATTCGTTACATTATGAAGTGGGGTTCACTTTATGCAAATTCAATTTATGTGCTGCTCTCCAGGAATGCACGTACCGCATAAATCAAGGGAAACCTGTAGTTGGGAATGGCCCTACTTTCAGCAATTGGTTGGACTAGATGACCTCCTAATGTCCTTTCCAACTCTAATTCCCCCCACACTCCTTTCCAAAATGTTTGTATCAGGTCATCCTAAATCTAAGCGCTTCCCCTGCCCTGTTAGGGTGACAATAATCTGGATTATTAGGGAGCACTGGATTTGCAGCTGAATAAAAGGCATGACCTGTGGCCTAGCAGAGCTGCTAACCACAAGGCAGAATGATATATTAAAAATATATTGCAAGATGCTTAGGCAACCAGATTTTGCAGAGCTTAAGATGGGAGGAGAAATGGGTGGAACATAGGAGGAGTGAGGGTAGAGTAAATGTTAATGAGTATAAACCAAAGTGTATAAATGTGGGAAAAAACTATTGTTCATTGCAGGACCCCGCCTCTTAAGGCGTGAGGCCCTTGTCTGAAGCTGTCTCCATTTCAAATAAAGCTGCTGTGAGCAATATGTGCTGGTGTTTTCTCCCTGCTACGCTCTGGCTACTGAGCAACAGGATCCGTGGGTAATTGGACTGTCGTCTCCCTAGTCATTGGGCACCGCATGGAGTCGGGGTCTAACACACCCCACCCTGGTTCGGTCAGGAACTTGAAGAATTTACTATTCAGCACAACTGTATTTCTTCATAGCCTACTACATTTTGGAACTCTATCACAGAATGGACAGAACTGCAATTTGTCATAGAGGCTGGGCAAAGATTTGGAAAATCAGATGGTAAGGAACAACCCTGCGATGGAAGAAGACTTTTCCCTACCGTTCTTAAAGTAGAATCATTTTACAGCAGTGGTGCTCAACCTTTTTGTCCATGGGGTCAGATGGGCAGTGCCCATCCCTCTGCAGGCTGGATCCAGCCAGAGACCCAATCCAGAGCTCAGGGAATGTGCAGCACAGCTCTATCCAGCTGCATGAAGGGGAGGGGAAGCCCAGCCCCGCTCCAGCCATGAAAGGAAAGATGGCTTGGCCCGGACAGCAGGGGAGGAGACATAACCAGAGTCCAATCCAGCCCTGCATGGGGAGGGGCAGTGGCACAAACCCGGGGGGGGGAGGCCGGCCCCAACCTAGCCAGGTGGAGGGAATGAGGTGTACCCTGCCCTGCAGGAGAAGAGAGCATGGCTGGGCCCCAAACAGCTGTGCACAGAGAAGGGCACATAGCCTAGCTCTAGTCTGGCCACTGAAGGAAGGGGGGCAGGGCCTGACCCTGATCTGGTCATTCAGGGAGAAGCTTGTAGCCCAGCTCCAAGGTGTCACACAGGGCTTGGGATTTTGGCTGCTCCCTTGCCACCAAAATCCCAACTCATGGGGAGCCCCACCACCCAGATTCGAAGGCTCCACAGGCTGCATTTGGCCCTCTGGCCAGAGGTTGAGCACCCCTGTTTTACAGCAATGGCACAAATATAACCAGGTCAGTAGTAAAGCTGTTTCCCTCTGGAGACCATTTTATGGACTGTGAAAATCTCCATTATCATTATAAGAAACATACAACAGCAGTTGCCTGTCATTGGCAGGGTCAGCAAAACAGCTAAGAGGACATACAAAACTAACCGGTCCTGGCCTTTTACAACTGAGCTCTCCAGAAGTCAGGGACAGGCCATGCTGATAAGCACATGTGTAGGGAAGTCCACACGCTTTAAGCCAGTCAACCCAAGGCATCAACTTCAGAAATTAAGACCTATCCCCCTCACCCTTTCATAAATATTAAGGCTATCTGCATTTTTAAAAGAGTAGCATTTTGGACAAAACCTTTAACCTTGTGAGGCTATGGTATTAACATTTGCAAGTAGTGCACTATAGCCCAGACTTTTCTGGACTAAAATATTACACTTTCCTACGGTTCAGTACACAAAGGAAAACCCTGAACACTGCCCTTCCCTGAACTGCATATTTTACATGCTCAGCCTAAAGATATAGTTGAATAGAAAATATTGACAAACTGAGTCACTCCATTGAAACTCATTCTGAGCAAGGTTACATCCCCAAAGGCACACTTTGCACACCCAGTTCACAAACGTTATCACGTGACAAAATATCACAAGAATCTAACACAGCAGAAAGCATCATTTATAGCTTGGTAAAAAGGAAAGAAGAATAAGGAGAACCATCCTCCAATCTGGGTACATAATCAAAAGGCCAAACTAAGCTAGCACTTTTTAAACTTCAGCATTAATCTGGCCCAAGAACAAGATTTTCTGTACACAGTAAAATCTTCTGCTAGAAAGTATTGTTCCAGACATTCACAGCTAGCAAGTATCACTTTGTTGGCTTGGCAATTGTTTGAGATGCTGTGACATGACTTAAGTGTCCTATCAGTGCCAAGTTCTGAAGTCAAGAACTGTTTTGTCTAAGTAAAGATTGAACAATGGGTCCCTAGCCTGCATCACACTTTAAAATCTTCTTTAATAATAACAAGTAACAGCTCTTGAGTGACTAAGCCACCCTGACATTCGAGTGCTCTGGAAATGTTTTTAACCTGTGTTATGAAAAATTAACAGGTAAGAATTATGCTGTGTTCACATTTGATTCCAGCTGTGTCTGAGACAGCTGACCTTTCCTTTCCTTCAGAAAAATGCAAAGAAAGCAAATTGTGAAGGACCCATGGTTGAAGGTTTCATAGT